GGAGCTGTCTGACTCTTTTTTTAAATATTGTGTTTTAGGGCATTTGAGTTTAATCAACATTTGCCAGTAGAGGGTGACAGACTCTAATAAGACGAGAGAGAGAGAGAGAGAGAGAGAGAGAGAATAACATAAGGGATTCAAATCACGAACATTACAGAAACATAAAGCGGTCAGACCACAGTGGGCTGATAGCACAGTATGAATGTGTGCATATTTTAGCACCGTGGGTGCGTATTTCTCTTAAAAGTGAGGAACTAAAATAACCAGTTGAGTTAATTAATCTACTTTCTTGTTATGTGTTGAACTACACAAAAACCATCAATCAAACCAACAGTTACATAAACAACATCTCCATGAAGCTTTTGGCATGACATTTCAAGAAGAGAAACTTGCAGTTCTCCTTGGTGAAAGGGTCATATCGAGACATTGTATTAAATGATATGTGATTAATTGTAACAAAAAATATTGTATACGACAACTATGTATTTACTATGTATGAGATGTGTTATTATTGTTAATTGCTTTGAAAAATTTGCTTTTGTTCATGTCAATAAAGACCTTTGAATTTGAATTTGAATTCAATTGAATTAAAAGACAGACAGAGACAGAGAGCGAATGTAAAGAAAGGAGAAAAAAGACACCTATCAAACCAAAAACACAGACACCAGTTGGACCCAATACTACTAGATGAATACTTTGAAACTCTAAAACAGTATAAACAAACCATTAGACAAAAGAAATTCCACCATACCTACGAGGCTTCAGGAGATTGACCAGGGTCAGTTCTGGGAAATATGAAAACTACTAGCAATACAAAAGAATGAAAATGAATGAAAAATATCGAACATCTGATTGTATGTATACCTTACACACTTTAATTAACAAGAAAGAAAGAAAGAAAACACAAATCATGATCTTCCAGAACCCAGATGTCTTGAAAACAAATACCCAGATTAAAACAGACACAAAATTACACTTACCTTGGTCTGACCATATCTGCATCAGGAAGTTTCAATATGGCAGTAAAAAAAAAAAAAAAAGGACGTAGGGCTGGATAAGCTGATAACTTGTTGTTTCAGGGGCTTTTAGTGTGGATATCTTTGCATTTAGTGACCACATTAACTGTGGTTCCTCTTTTTCCTTTCGACTGTGCTATTTTTTCAACACTCTGGTAAGAGTTTTCACACCTTCTTATCTGAAGCTGATCACTGAAGAGAAGACATTTCAGGCTGCTCTGCGTAAGGGGACATGGACACTGTGATTGGACTGTTACTGATGCTCGGAGTTTCTCACGGTGAGATGTTGAACTTGTTTAATTTTACACATTGTTTGAATTTCTAGGATTTATTTAAAAAGTACAGCCTGACATCATCTTCACTGATGTGTTTTACAGCTCAAACACTGACGCACACTAGAAGAAAATTCATACTAGAATCCTAACACATAAATTAATTCGATATAATTTAATTAAATCAAATCAAATATAATGTTCAATTGACTGCCATAAATCTATAATGCTGAAGGAACCTAAAACCTCTTCTGGTGTATTTTTATGAATTTACATTACGCCACTGGTCACAGGCCTGTGTAACTCTCAGCTACACAAGAATAACTTGCTGTTGGCAAACTGTGGTCTGAGAGACACAGCTGCAGCAAACCCACTGTTTCTGTGGGTTTGACTATGCCTCATTGTGATTGATTTAGTAGAAATCGAAGGACTAATTTGTTTAATTGTTTTTGGAACTTATTCATTTAAATTATTTTTCAATATTTCCAGGTGTGGAAACCTACTGTGATGCCAGACAGAGTGGAGCTCAGTGTTATGGAGCTTTGGGAGGAACTGTGGTCCTCCAGCTGATGGACAGTGCCTCAGAAATATTTAAATACCAATTGTTCAAAAACCACAGAGCAATAGTCCGCGGGGGTAAGAACAGGTCAGTGTTTAATCTGATAGCAGACAGATCTTCATTTACTCCCAGTGATGGAACATTTAGGATCAATGACCTGAGCAGGACTGATGGTGGTGAATACACTCTTATAATCTTTGATTTAAATGGAACCAAATCAGAGCTGCAGACTCTACAGTTGATCATTCAAGGTAAAAAACTATTTTGTCTACTGGGGAATTTAGTAATATTGACACACATCATATTTGATTGCTACACTACATTATCCTGTCCTATATACACACGATACCTGTATATAGACCTCTTCTGTATTATATATTGTATATAATGACTAAGATTCTGTTACTATGAAAAGTCATCTGAGTGTGTTTCCTTCAGCTCCTGTGTCCTCTGTCCTGCTGGTCTCTGAGTGTCTGTCCCAGGGAGAGATGAGGGTGTCCTGTTCCTCTGAGGGAGGAGACAGTCCTCAGTACAGCTGGACTCTGGATGGACACACACTGACAGACACTCAGCTCCTCTCTGGAAATAATGAGACTAACAACATCACTCTGAAACCAGACGTCTCAGGACAACTGGTCTGCTCAGTCAGGAATCACATCAGTGGGATATCTACCTGTGGTGAGTCAGAACTTGAGTGAAAAACAGTTTGATAGTTATGACACTGATGATTAACAGTGCATCTGTTTGTTTCTCATAGGCTTCAGGTTCTCTGACTGCACCTTATTCAACGGGACACACATATCGCAGAGTGTGCGTGTATCCGGTAACACCCAGTGCATTGAGCCAACATCAACCTCTACCACGATTACAGACACTACTGTGGGTAAGGAGAGTGACATTACGGTTTCAGTTAATATCCCATCTTCCAAACAAACTGTGACTTCTTCCTGCACAGATGACTCATGGCACTTAATAAGTAAGTGAAAACTAAGTCTCCTGTCACAGCAATAACATGCATGTCATTTTTGTGTCTCTTTGTCTGAACAGATCGCTCCCTGCTCATATGCAGTTCGCGAGCAGCTGTGGTGATTCTTATATTGAGCGGGATTGCTATTTATTTTGTCTTGAAGAAGAAGAAATATGAGAAAGCTGAAGGCTCTGTCGTCCCTCGAAAAAGGGAACATCAAGAGAA